TCAGGTTGAAGACTGCCGGGTTCCCTGGTAACAGCTTTGCAGCTTTCTCCACCCAAAACTCTGCTCTGCTGTCACATTCCTCCTTACCGACAAGCAACTCAGCCACCTTCAGCACCAGGTCCCTCTGGGCTGGGTTCAAGTCCACTGACCGCTACATAAACACAGAGGGGAAGAAATTAGGACTACCACAAAAGCCTGAAGATGGGTGATTTATTCAAAGGGCAAGACTGTTCAAAACACAGCACTGACAACATGAAAGAGGTGTAAAAGCAACACTCGTATGATAATTCATTAATTAATTTCCACCTCGATAAAGTCTAATGAGGTTACTGAATAAACATGATGAATCCAGACTCTAAGGTCAGTGTCATGTTTATCAGCACATCAGTTTTTGTGTTTGATTTTACTTAAGAAAGCCAAACATGTGCATCATATGCTCCGCCAATTATTTGTTTCCCTACTTTGTGCCAACAGAGAGAATAAAAACTCGACACCTCCTCTTCCTTCTCACACTGACATAATTAATTTATTCTTTTAATGAAAGCAGAGGCAGGAGCTGTTTTTTTTTTTCTTCCAAGACCAAACATTATCAGGCGGCACTTTATTCAGTCTACTGTGCACTGGGAACACAAGTAATTAAACGAGCATTTCTGACGGGGAGAGTCGGTAGTCCTTTTGAAGTGTAAAGAGTTGCAATAAAAACACTGGAAATGTACAAGGAATATATAGTGGACAGTATTTAGTAGTGTCTAGTCGGGCCTCATTACTGATATGGACTCAAGTCATCAGTGACAGAAATACAAACTCTCAACATCAGCGACGATCACTAACAACACTTTGTTTATCTCATCAACTAGAAACCTGCTGGAACATGTTTAAAGCATTCATTAGTCTTCATCAACACGGTAACGCAGGTGTGACTCAAAAACACCCCGAGACATCCGAGCTGCTGCTACCACAATCAGGAGGCAACCAAATACACACAATTCTGTACTGGTTTCGATATTAGGTCGGTAAAGATTAACAGAGCTGCCTGCGAGCACTATCATTTAAAAAAAACAAAAAGAGAGGGCATTACAAGCTCACTTTGATGGATTACCCGTTACATAACAAACCAAAACTTCCAGTGTCTGCAACTTTTATTCCTGACACACACGCAGGAGGGAAAAACATCTGAAACCGCAACGTGTTCTATGGAAAGCAGTCCCCAGGAACAAACATGAGATTTTTACATAGTTTCTTAATTAGATTTGCAACAAGGAAGATTCAACCAAATCCAGACGACGGGTGTTATTTCTCCTCCCTGCCCAGGTATTAAATCCAGTACAAATACCTGTTTGGTTAGTACATCTACATTGCTGTAACTTTACGAATCAGCTGTTACATGGAACACAGTCACATGGGACTTCTAACCTGAGGACCTTTTAATTTCCATGTTCTACCACCTTCCAGCCAATGCACAAATTAGTACAACAGTATTACCCTAAATAAGATTTTTCTTTACCTCAATTCAGTGCATCCTCTAGAAGGTAAAACAAAAATAAAATTGAACCCAAAACATCTAACTTGTTGACCATCTGTTGACCAGATAAAACAGCTATTGATAGACTCTGATGTTCCCTGAACGCACCACTTGCGGCTACTCTTGAGGTTTGCTGGGTCGCTGTTGCGTCAACAATGTCAATATTGCAGTCAGGCTCATTTGATTGTGATAAATATTTGATTGATTGTGCACTTGCATTGTTGTCTGATTTGTTTAACACTTGCTATTCTCTTTTGCAACAATATCTTCCTTTTTCAGTGTCTCTCTCCTGTCCCTTGCTCACTTCGCTATGCACATGTGGAGCCTGCACTTCAACAAAGTCAATGTTCTGCAGAAAAATCAAATAAGCAACCAAATAAAAAGCAAACTAAGTTGTTGCACCGATGCGTTTGCTCTGCTTTACATCACGCTATCATATCGCAAGAATATGCTGCGACAATACATCGTGCAGTACACAAAAGCTCAGAGCTGGCTCAGGGCTTGTGGCAGACTTTGATTAGCCACTTTTTAAAAAAAATAAAAAAAATGTTCCTTTCTATTAAAATACGTGCTGAACTATTGGATTTCTGAAAACACATTCCCTTTTAGGATGACATGTTGTTTCTACCTTGTAACATCCTACTGCCTTGTTGATATCTCCTTCTCTCTCGTAGAGCTGTCCAAGGAATTTGTGTGCTTTGGGATCCCTCTCCTGGACCTTGAGATACTCTGAAACATGCCTGGGAAGAGCAGGAAGGATTACATGCACAATTATGGTTAATAAAATGCTGGATAGACGCAACAAAGAGAGGCCTTTGTTCAACAATGGAGAGTATCACATGCTTACCTTTTTGCAAGTTCATATTCCTTCGCTTCGAAGTACAATTTAGCAAATAAAAATCCTTTGACTGGCTTCTGTGGAAAGAAAATATATCAGTGGATCAACAATTTGATATTTAGCTTGTTAAGTTAGTCAGAAGACCCAACGGTGAATGTCGTTAAGTGGTTGTTGACTCACTGGGATGTATCCCAGACACCAGCAACCACCACAGGGTGAGAGCGAACAACATCTCAGCCAACATGTTCATGGGATTATCTCCTCCTCAGATTTACTGCTGGCCTTTCTTACTTCCTAGACTAGAACTGGTGTTAATGACTTCTGTGTTGCCAGGAACTGGAATACATTAGCTTAGCATTCAATTTTCCAATTGTAGGACTTTGATTTTATTGTTGAAACTATAGGCGGCTGTTGATAGCATGATGCCAGTCTGTCACATCATGGACATGTTTTACATTAAACATGCTGGTCACACACAAACTACAAAAACTACAACTACGTCATTTGTATTCATGTAACAGCCAATATCGTCATTCTCCCAATCTAAAACAACATTTTAATGAGATTATTATTATTGCATGTCTAGTCATTAAAGGATAACAACATTAAGTTGACGATGTACTGCTTCATTAAGATGTTTGCAGACAATCCAATCAGCAATTATTGTTAAGCTAAAAAGCCAGCAGATTTCTGAGTTATGTTTCGTTTACAGCTGCGACCTCGAGGTATTTGGGTAAAAGGAGGGAGTTAACTCCCGTTTTCCACATAAACGAAACCAGTAGTAGCAACAGAAGTTGGCTACCCGAGCTAGCTGCGGAACGGCTACTTAGCACGGCTACCTAGCTGGCGTTGCTCTAACAAACCCATGCCGCGCATTTTCCAGCACCAAGGGGAGGACACGACGAGGCGTCATCATGCCGGTTAGCTAACGTCCGCGCCGCTAGCCGGGGACGCCTCAACAGAGGTTACATGGGAGACGGAATTTAAGGCTGCCGACTTAACGTGCTCTTAATTAAAACTACAACTGGTGCTCATTGAACATGTGTCCGGGCTGTGTCCTCGCACCGGCCGGCTGACACATGTTGGTGGGACATGATGGACGCAACACGCTAACATTAGCCGCGGGCTCAACTTACCTCTTTAAGTGAGGGAGAGGAACTCTGTACCGAGGAGACGTATCGGTCCACCTCAGCCTTACTCCGCCGCATGGCTTCCGACTACACGTAAACCCCGAAGACGGCTCGCTGTGGTGCGCTACAACACCACGAATTCACAAAATATAAAAAAGCACGGACATCAGTAACGGCTCGTCTGTCACTCCTCAGACGTTAGCGCTCCATGATGATTTGCGCAGTCTCGTTACCGTCAAATGGCAGGGGGGGTCACGTGGCCCGTGCGTTGAGTTGAATCCAGACTCAGTAGCCAATGAGGAGCGAGGGTTTGGTGTGACGCACGCTGACGCACTTTATTTTGAAGTAGGGGTGGGACCGCAGACCCAACTATTCGACGTAACACTAATTAAACACAACAATTATTTAGATTCAAACAAACACATTCATAAATGTTGTGATATATTTTTAAAATAAAACAAATACATTATTTTTTTTTTGTTGTTGCCATTTTTCGTTTGTAAAGCAGTAATTTCCTGTGCATCAAGTATTTTGCTTTATGTACCTAAATACATACAGTAGACCTCAATTTTATTCATAACCTTCCATTAAAGAAAAGGCAAAATTTACACCGGCCACACAAAGTGGTAATAAATAAAAATTTGCTAAATTATAATTTAGTGTAATGAAACATTGCTTTTGAATTGTGGTCGAAAAAAAAAAAATAAAAAAATATAGAAAACTGTCCCAGATGAATTAGAGAATTATGATTGGCTATTAGTTCATGGGTCCCATCATGCTTGTTTGCTTGTGTTTTTGTTCGTTTATTTTTGTAAAAATACATTTCTGTTGAACCACAATTCAAAAGCAATGTCATGATTTTCATTAAATTTTTATTTATTATTACTTTTGTCAATTTCAACTGATTTCAGTGACACCTGTTTTCTTTCTTTAGTGAGAGGGTACGAATAGATTTGAGGACAACTGTATGCAACTTCTTTTTCCAAAAACATTTTTTTATCCATTCATTCATTTTCTATTTAAACTCAACATATGAAGGCCTCCTTCACAAGTACAAGCTGAGTAACACAGCAAAAGACATAGCTGCTCAAATAAGAAACAATATCAATGAAAATATTCGTAGGTAAACTTAAAATAATAAAGACTGTTAAATAAAGTGTTAAAGTTAGAGCAGTGGGAGGTAAAATGAGATGAAAATTAAAAGCCTAAATTGATATAAGGATAAAAATGAGTCAAACGTTAGACCACTTGTGTGTGAACGTGTCTGAATGGGTCAAAGAGAAGCGACATATTGTTCCTCATGTTAGTATTATAGCTTATGTAAATATGCTACGTGCATATAGAACAATAACCAAAGAAAAGGGTTAAGGTCAAGATGAAGGCAATGCGTTTAAAACGTAGGACATATACCTGACTTTTTTGGGTGTCTATAATAAAAACCTTGTAATCTGTAAAGCTGTAATAGATTTAATGTTCCACGTTGAAAGATGTAAGAAATAATACTACATGCTGGCACTGATGTAGGTGTTTATTCAGATGATTTGACAGATTTATCTTTGATATAATGACAAATACATTTAAGTTAAAGTCCAGAATATGCACTTTGGTGTGTTAATACATCTCTTCACAAACATTCCCAAGGTAGTAAGATATCAGATGAAACCGTGTACTGGACTATTCTGCTTCACAACAATCAGTCCAGTGGCTAACTTAACTTCTCCATGGCATGAGCAGCGCTGTGGCTTCGGTAGTAAAACGCACAAGAGTAGCGTTGGCTTTGCAATCAAAAAAAAAATGTGGAATGTGTTTTTCTTCTATTGAGCTTTTATGTAGAAGATATGTTTTCCATGATAAAACACCGCTCGAGTGAAGCACTTTGAGAACGGGAACGGTTGGCTTTCTTTCCTAAGTGGGTCTGAGCCTTGAGGAAGTCGGTACACCTCCCTAAGAGGATCACTTTCTCTGGATCACAAACAACAGAGGCAAATGTTTCTGACATCAAGCGCTACTCCCACATCCGGTCTCCGCACATGCCACAAGCCGTCGTGTTGTAAGACACACACACAGTTACCAGTTGCCGTGCAATAAATTATGTCACCCTGAAGCTTATTGTGTTCAGTGTTTGTTTACAACACGTCAGGGGAGTTGTTTCAGCAGAATCTAAGCTGCAGTTATAATGTTGAGTGGTACTGCAGAACACACCTCGAAAGCTTTCTGGTATTCTAGCATCTGCATCTATTTACTCCAAATAGGAGAAAAAACAAAAAAACTCCACATTATAAATGTTGGATAGGCTGTACTGGAGTATTTTAGATTGTGAACCTGAAAAACTGGTGAGTAAATACCAGTACATGTTGCTTTGCATAGAGATTGTGTCACATAAAAAATGCTCAGCACACACTGGAACAAGGTAATCTAGCACACTGTAGGTGGTAGTTGTGTCCATTACTGCAGCATGTGCATGATAGCAATAAACCGTAGATGCACAAAGAAACTTTATAGACCTACACTAACTTATTTTGCATAATATTAAAGAAAATACACAAGAAGAATACATACAATTATACTTGCTGAAAGAAAACGAGAAACTTTAGAGATTATATACACATTCAGTACAACGGCATGTTTTTTTTTTTTTCAAGCTGTCTTTGGTTTACTTATTTATTATAGAAATGTGGCAGTAACATCAGTCAAACAAGGAAACAGATTTTTTGACATCACAAGACAAGCTGGCAAACAGTTGAGCAACCTCTCAGCGCAGCTTGTAAGTCATTATCCCATGTTTCTATGTCTTCTCTTCAAGCTCATATAATAAATATAGGACCGTCGACACGTGTTGTGTTTTATATATAAAGTAGTGAACTAAGCAAGCAAGCGAAAAAATATACAGTGCAGTGTTTGAGCCAAAAGGCACTGAGGAGGCTAAACCTACCGACTGACTGATCAACATGACTGTCGAGCCATCTGCCAGGGTGGGGCTCATAAAATCAAAGCTCAAAGTCTTACTGCTGTAACTAAAAGCACAAATGTGTTCTGCTGAAATAATCGACCTAAATGTAACATACCGATAATATAAAACACACAAATTCTATCTAAATGCGACTCTCGGTTCTGGGCTTGTGCGGGGCCACCTCGCGGTCTCATCTGTCTTTCAGTGCCACCGGCTGCTCGACTGCGCGTTCACTTCCGAGCAACAGTTTCTGACAGTTTCTTCAGCCTCTTCTTCAGCTCCAGAGGGAACTTCTCGTAGCACTTCTTACAAACTGGCTTCATGTCAAACTCCACAAACTTGTTCCTGAGGAAGAAAGATGCACAGTTACAGGCTGGAGGTTAGATGTTGTCATTCTTGTGTGGACATATCTGTTATAATACGATGTCTAGTAGCATTAAAAAAATACACTTTCATGACTTTACAAACCACAGCATACATACTGACATGTTAACATTAATGTGCTATGGGAAGATATGCTTTCTGTGTAAGAGTTACTGCCAACTATTAGATTACTTCTGGATTACTACATTTTTAATTGCATAAAAAAATGCCTTGATTCCTGCTCAACGTGGATATTTTAACATCTAACAACACGACTGTCTTCGGGTTTCACTTCTTTCTTTTATATTGGTTCTTGTTTGTTATAAGGTGAGCTGGATAACTCTAAACCTGCATGAATCTGAACATCTTTCACCATTTTTCTGCACATTTCTGACCACTGTATCCTAATATTTTTTGATGAAATACCAGATTTCCCTAAATGACAACAATCGGGGCTGTATATTCCAGGACAGATATCACCCTGACACGTATCTACAAACAGATTTACGTTGGGATCTATGATGTCCTGGCAGAGGTACAGTGTGTGCTCTTAGAGTGGCTTCTGCTTGTTCTTTGTATTGAATGTCTTTAATGCTAACAACTTGGCCGGCGCTCTAAACCTTTTCCCTTCAGCTGTCCCTGAACAGCATTCCCTCCCAAAGCAGATAATCGCTGCCAGGACCGGGGCACGTGTCTTACTCTGAGGGACCTCGGCATTTGCTGCCGGAAGTGATTATGGCTTTACGTCTTACACCAGACAGACTGGGAGACCCGGGAAACAAAGAATTCCCTTTACCATGTGATTGATCTGATTTTCCTGTTTGCGTAGCAGAGGTTAGCAGGGTACCAGCCTAAGTCCTGACCAGCGTTTCCTGCTGAGAAGCGGTCATGTGCTGCAACATTGCCACTGTTAGGTCACTCAGAAGTGTTCAGTGTCCATTTACATGCAATTCTTTTGCTTTGATCCTTTGGCTTGAAAGCCAATTGAATTAACGGTGAAGTGAGGATTAAAATAGGCATGTTTGAAATATACTAACAATGAAAAAGCAAACAACAGAATCAGGCAGCGAGGAAGACGGAAACTGACCAAAGAGAAGAACAGTTGAAGTGAGAAGGAAGGAGAAAGAGGGGATCACAGACACATGGGTATCAGTAATTTCTTCTTCTTCTCTTTCGAGTCTCGTTCGCGCTTGGCCAGCCGGCGCTTCATGTCGTCCGGGAGGCGTTCATAGCAGTGCTTACACACCGGCTTCAGATCCACCTCCACAAACTTTTCCCTGACACAGCAGGGACGGAGGACACATGACGAGAGGTGTGAAAGAGGTGGAAGAGAAAGAGACGTGAGCGTTGGAGAGAAGGCAGAGGAAGGAAAGTGGACGCATAATATAAAAGATAATAACAGGGAGGAGAGGCAGAGAAACACGCCCACAGGGACACAAGATAATCGGAGGAAAGACTGTTAGCAGCAGCAGATGGCAGCAAGGTAGTTGTGAAAGAGAAATATGGCAGCAAAGAGACCTCAGACAAATCACATGTCAATTTCTGACAGAGAATACTCTTAATGTAGAATGAGTGGATATTCCAGAATAAACTGAGCTGGCAGCGTTAAGGTGTGTCTCACTGCACAACTTACTTGAGAGTGAGCTTGGTGTTGCAGGTTGAGCAGGCAAAACAGTTCACACACCAAGCCTTGTTGAGGGCAGACACCACTGAAACAAACACAGGAGACAGTCGCATGAAACGGCGTCCCAGATTTCTATCATACGAGTTAAATCAAATGGATGTTGTTTAGTCTAAACCACACAACACAATCTTGAAGAGGCACCACGTCAAGAAATATGTACACATCATACAAATCACATTACAGTCAATGTAATATGGAAAAGAGGTTCCTCAAATGGATGCTGATGTCAACAGAGCTGCTTGATAACCTCTCCATCCTGAGTTCATTAGATTTTTACTCGTAATTAGTTTGCTTACCGTCTCCTTCAATAACACGATTGCAGTGGTAGCAAACATCCCCGAAGAGCTGAGTGCAGAGAAACAGAGAGTTAGCACATCTCATCAGCCGTTATCATTACCCACAAAACATGCTGTGTTCAAAGCCATGACGCAAGCACGGCCTACGGGGCTGCAAGGCATTTCTATATTTACCTGAAAGCATAAACCCACATTGTTTTGGAGAAAGAAAAAAAAATCCCAAACAGCTTTCTAACACTAGGTGGAGTCATCACATTGATTAAATCATGGTGTATCTAATTAAACTATTGTTTAAACAGAATATATAATATAATATACATAATTGGGAATCTCACTGTACTGCATATACCAGTGCAAATGGTCCATGTGACTTATTTACTGTTTCTCTCAACATGTTGCATTCATGTGCAATCCTACTCTCTAGTGTCCACAGGCTTCCTCACATGACTACCTTCCCCCCATCCATCCCTTAATACTTCAGCAACTGTGGCCAAATGCAGAGTCCCAGTTTACTTCTAATCTAAACCATGATGCAGACAGTTTTGTTTGGCAGACATGACAAAAGGAACCCCAGAAGAAATGTCATTACAGGCAAAACATAAAATGTCTGTGTGTGTTCAGCATAAATGCCCCCAGTACAGGTGAGACTGGTGAGTGTTACCTGGTTGTAGTGCGTTTCGCAGTAGGCCAGGCCCTTGCGTTCGTAGTGACGGTGTCCCAGGAAGGGTTTCTCACACTTAGCACACACAAAATGCTGCAAGCAAACCCATAGCCAAGCACACATGGTTAGCAAAGCCACGAGTCAGTACATTACCACACTCACATCATGCTGAAGAGAATCTGGCTCAAGTCAGAAAACAACCAGATCAGTTCATTACAGATGTCCTGTTACTGCGTCCATACAGAGAGTTGAGAAGGAGGATAGAATAGTGACCACTAGAGGGTGCATTAATCCTCCGAACAGACAGGAAAGGGAGTAATGGTAGGGTACAGGAAATGTGAAATACTTCCTCCAATGATAATGAGGAAAAAGTGTATTTTAGCTTTCAGACAGATCACCTTTAGTGTGCAATGATTTATATGACGACATCATATAGAGACACATGTAGATTTATAAAAGCAGATTTTGATGAAGGGTACTGAAAGTTATTTTCCGTATTTACACTAAAATGAAGAACAGATTCCTGCAGAACCGTATTTTGGTAGTAAATAAACACTGGTGAATACTTATTTTCATTGTCAGTAGCTTTCTTTTTGTCACATTTAGTGTAATAATATGTTTAAACACCGTGAATTATAAATAATGAGTTGGGTAAAGTAACTAAATTGAAGACTTGAAAATCTGATTTGCTTTTCTCATGACATAAGTTTAAATCAATCTGGCCTACAGCTCTAGTAACTCATATAGGAGTGTAACCCTTGTATGGAGGCTGGGAGGTTGTAGCCAGGCAGGGAAACAGGGCAGCAGTCAACACCAGGCCAATCCTTCATCCCCTCACCATGTCAAAGTGTCTCTCACAATAGGCATGACCACCTCGCTCATAAAACGGGTGGCCTTGAAATGGGCGCTCACATATAGTGCATACATGATGCTACACGTGGAGGAGGGAAGATGGGAAAATAGATATAAGATGTGGAAAAGATAGAAGGAAAGCGAGGAAGAAGAGATGGAGAGAGATAGTAGAGGAACGATGTACACAGCTGAGAGATAAATGGACTGAACATAACTGTGGAGATAAAGCCAGTAGAAACATGAGTCACACGTATGACACATTTTAAAGAGCATTTGATGGATAAAATGTACAGAACATAAAGAAAATAAAACTATGTCCATAGCCAAAAGTATTGCAGCTTCTCAAATATGTGCAATATCAAGTAATTTCTGCAGGACTTCCATCAAATGAGAGTGTAACTGAAGCTGATATTAAACGTTCTACAGTTCGACATCGCACCTCCACGTGCCACTGCTTGCCCATGGCGTTGACCACACGGCCCTCGATGGGCCTCCTACAGGCCCCGCAGATCGGGACTCCCATCTTGTCGTGGCAGGGCAGACAGTAGAGCTCCCCCTTCAGCTCCCTGGCGTCAGCTGTCAGCTCCTTGCTGCAGAGAGAGGGGTAAATAACTCCACTTCATCTCAGGTAACACTAATGCCAATTCAGAAGATGTAAACACAGTAAATGAAAGCTGGATTCTAACTGGTTATTGATGCAAAGAACACAATATTTTTGAATGTTATAATGTTGGTTTCGAAACTATTTTTACGCATACACATACTTTGAATGTTTACCTACAACAGAAATGACACAGTTTGTCCACCAGAGGGCACCGTGGTGTCTTTGGCAGATTGAAAATGTTCCTGTTTTGAGTGATGGTTCTAAACATCTAAGACCGTGCACCTCTAAACATGGAGATGACCTTTTATGGTATGCACATTTAATCAGCGAATGAGAGCGATAAACCCTTCAATCCTCTTTGTCTCGGTGCAGTCAAGCTGCTGGATGCTTGTATACAAGTCTGAGTAAACTTGGCAGAAGCATGACGACAAAACAAACGAACGCCTCGCAAGGAATTTTAAGACACCCATCTGGAAGTCTGAAAATGAAGTGTTTTCGGGGCTATTCACAACCGAACGCAGCTTGCATCCGCTATAAGCGGCGTTTGGTCGACTCGCTCGCTTCAAGCTGTGAACAATTTGCGAAGCCGTCGGCCGGGTTCGCGTGCGTCCGTGTTTACCCGCAGTTGTTGCAGTTGAAGTGATCGGGGTGGTAGGGGTCGTTCTTGAACAGCAGAGGCTGCTCATCGATGATGGCGTGACACTTCTGACAGATGTACTTGCCGAGGCCTCGAGCTTTCTCTCTGTTGTGACACGGACGACACAGGTGCCTGATGAAAGACAGAGAAATGCTTGATTAGATGCTATTCACACCGATCGGACGCAAAATTGATCATTTCTTATGCATTGGGACGACTCCGTTCCATACATGCGCAGTAGGTCGGCATTTTCAGGAATGGTTCGAGGAACACGACAAAAAGCCAGCCTCTAAATCCCTGGATCCCAATCTGATCAAGCATCCATAACATACACTGGCATCTGCACAGTACAGGGAGGCACCACCCTTCAAACCACTGGATCTGCTGCCAATATCCTCGTACCAGACACAGGACACCCCCAGGGGTCCCGTGTCCATGCCCCAACAGGTCAGAGCTGTTTTGGCAGCATGAGGAGAGCTACACAACAACAGGTAGATGGTTTGTATGTTGCAGCTGATTGGTGAATCTCTCCTGGATCCTTCCACTTCTACACTCAACAGTATCTGTCCTGTGTTAAACAAGTGATGCAGCGGTAGTGCCCTGAGTGCTCAAATCGAACCAAAACCTTTTGTTATGAACCTCCAAAACCACATCCACAGCAAGTCCTGGCTTAAGATTTCAGAGTTGATTAGATCAGATTTCCTCTTTAATAGTCACATCAACTAACTGAGTACTTTATATACTGTGTAGTACAGAGCAGCAGGCCGAACCTTATAGTTTCTGACCATTTAAAACAGGAGGAGAATGTTCTGACAGTGTTTGACATGTAGAAGTTGGGGAAAGTCAGTGAAACAGCTTAAAGAAAGAACAGAACATTTTTCTTCTCTTTAGTAGACATTTATAACTGAGTATGATGATACTGATGCCTTGTGCGGTAACTGACCTTCCAGCATTTTTAACGAATCCAACATCAGCGAGCACAGCCTGGCAGATATCACAGCAGAAGCAGTCCGGATGCCAACTGTTGTTCATCGCCTTGATCACACGGCCGATAATGAACTCCCCTGAGAGAAGAACAGAAATGTTTTGATAAGTTAAATAAAAAAAAAAACCTTTTTAGAAAGGCACAAACTCTCAGCTTTGTGCTCACATGACCCCGACCGGCTGGCAGCAGGTAAACAACTGGATGGATGTAATTTAGTTCTCTTTTACTGTACTTACCACACTGATGGCAGCAAGGAGCGAACAGCATCTGGAAGTCGTGTTCGCAGTACTTCCTGCCTTCAAACTGTCAAAAGAATTCAAGGAATTTGCACACAATTAATCGAAGCACACAGCTGCACATCGACAGATTGTGACAGTTGATGAACAGCATAATCCTAAAAAGCATCTCTCCCAACCACAACACTGACAAACTCTCTGCCTAATTATCAGTAATAGAAGGATGCTGTCGATCAGAAGTGATAGCACCAGTATGTTGTGGCTCCCCAGTTAAAAATGTGACTCACTCTGTGGGTCTTTTACTGACAGTTTACTGAACTTTTTATTACTTTGTAAATGCCACTTTAGGTTAAACTTGTTTGATCTGAGACATCAAGTTAGGACTGACAGTCAAAGAACAGATGTGATGGAGAATTTGACCGTCTGATGGGAACAAGGATGGTGGAGGAGATGAAAAAATAAAACAAAGGGGTGTTTAATCATCCCTCCAGATTGCATTAAAACCCCAAATGCACATTTCTGACAGTGTGAAACAGCGACTTTTTGACTTGTTGTTTGAGAACTGACATACTGTATATGAATATCTAAATCATGTCCTAACTCATAAGTCCCCCGTATGACACTCGTCTGTGCAAGCATGGCCACATGCAGTACCGTATACACACAGTAATGTACTCCTGCTAACAGTGGCTTCATGTTTTCTGTACAAGAGCATGACTTAGTATAACACAATAATCAGCCACAACATCAAACCACCTGCCTAATATAATGTTCAGCTCCCCTTGTGCTGCTACAACGGTCGTGACCCTTCAGTTCATGGACATGGGACCTCTTGGTGTGATCGAGTTCTGTGGGTTGGGCCTCCTCGGATCAGGTTTGTTCATGTACATCTCGCGGATGGTCGATAAGATTGAACTGTAGGGAATTCGGAGGCTGGGTCAACACCTTGGGCTCTTCGTTGTGTTACTGAACTGTTTTTGTTTCTGTGGTGTTGCAGGGTGCGTTGTCCTGCTGTTAGGGAGTGCTATGCCATGGAGGAATCGATCTTGGTCTGGAGCAATAATTATGTTGGTGACAGGTTCCCAAATAAGATCCACATGAACGCCAGGACCAAAGGTTCCCCAGCAGAACACTGCATTGTGATGAGATGATCCACGTCCTTCACATCAACATTACTGTTGAGGATGATCAGTGCTTAAGCATCAAAAACTGCTACCTTGGAATTTCTCATTCCTGTTTGGGCAAATATGACTATAAACAGGTGCATTTTTAATTTTCTTTACATAACCTCATCAACTATTCCCTTTAGAATATTAATTTTTCTTTCTTAAGTGGTTTCAAGTTGCAATACTTTTGAAAGTCTTACAATCTAATAAATAATAAAGCAGTTATGCTCATAAACAAACAGGATGGTCATCAATACACTGAGCTACTAAAACTATGTACCTTCAAAAACACGCACTTTGTATTATTAAAGAGATTTTATTGCATCATTTTAATGTTCTCAGAGTTTTTTGAGGTTGCATCTTGAAATCTTGAAATCTACAGACTCCCACTGTGCTTAAAGCTTTTCCTCTGAGATTAACAGGCCACTTCTACCAAAACACTGAGGTGGTAATATTCAGTTTACTATTTAAGGCAACAGCTCGAGCAGAGAATAAAAGGTTAATGCAGCATCCTTGGGTTTGATGTTCAGACTGATCAAAGCTATGGAGACACACATAAAGACCGTCGGGTTCTCTGGGGCCTGTCGGAGGAACATCTGGCCTTGTGTCAAGGTCGGCAAGGCGATCGTTTACTGGAAGAGGGCTTCTAATAGTTCAATAACCCATTAGGTAGTGCTCATCCCTCTTTATTGACCCCAACTGGACCACGTGTTTGAATTCTATGTTCAGAGGATGAGCAAAAACTTCAAAATACCAAACACGTGAAAATATTTATGGCTTAATATTCTGATGCAACAATGAGAACTTTGAGATCTAAATACCTTCAAACAGGCTCCATCCCCCCTGCGACCCTCCAGAGGATATAGCAGTGGATGGATAATGGATGGATAATAATGGCTCTAACAGTCTCCTTGTACTAAGCTGTTGTCTGACTGTCTGTGAAGAAAACTGCAGTCTGTTGACATAAGATGAGTGTAACTATGGCTACGACTTCTTAACAGATGCAAAATATCTGTAAATCTTTGTTTCCACACAAGCCTGCATGAGCAATATAGACAAAAACTGCACTGAACACAATTTTTAGGCACGTCTAGACCAATCAGAGTCATTTTTCACTGATCTAGATGAGCTATAAAAAGTCCAAATCATTTGCAATACAGGTGTTCATTATAATCCACTGCCCTCTGGGCGTAGTTACACCTGCCAGTTACTGCATCTTTTATTGGATTACTAAAGGACAACGTGTTACCTCGTAGAAGAGTCCCTCGGGGAACTGCTGGAAACACTGGGCGCACACGAAGCACTGCTCATGGTACAGCTCCCCGTTGCTGTTCACGATCTTCTCCGCCGGGGCGAAGCCACTCTTGCAGCGCTCGCACATGGCGTTGGCCAGAGCGTTGGCCATGTTGCTGAGAAGGAAGAACATCAGGGTCAAACTTTGCTCACATAATCAAAAGACATTCACATATAAAATAAATAAAAAATGTTCACAAGCAAAAAAAAAATCATCAGTGAGTTAATCATAATCACCACAAAAAAAAGCAAATATAATTCATGTATGAAGCTCAATCAGAGTCTGAAAGTAATATTTATCATACAGTCCGTACTTTGGTTGCTGACCCTTGATTAAACCTGTAATACACCTGGCAAAGGAACAGCCAGATGACATCCTGACCTGATTTTCATGGAACTGAGGCACTAGAGCGACATTTAATGACACTTTTAACACATATATTATGATAGGAGAAGGTAATCTGATGTATTACAACTCCAAGCAACTGAAATGATAATTTTTCAACTTAATCAGAAATATAATGGATCTGATTTTAATGTTTCTGAGCACTTGTTGTCCCAAAGAACAGACGATGGACACGGCGTTGACCGGGGTCGTGTCAGGACACACCTAACCTAACTCATCACACATCGCCCGTTATGATAACAGCTGGAAGATGTACTCGGTAAAATGAGAAAGTGGAGCGGAAAAAATGTGATGTAAGAGGTTATCAGGCCCCTCACACACACACACATACACACACACACATGATCGCAGGTTTACTTTGGCTGACTTTAGGAGGGTGTGGGTATCGGTGAGACGGGAAACCTACATGTTATCTCTTCATAGACAAACTGAAGTTATTTTTCATCAGTCCAGCTGATGTGAGCACTCACACAGACATGAGTCCACATCATATAAAACAACAGAGGTAGTTTGATAACTGTTTAGGGAGGAAAACCTGAGACATGAAGCTGGTCTGGCATGTGAAGCTGATAGTTCACTTTCATGAGACAATCAGGATTGTTTTACTGCCTCGCTGTGAAACATAACTGCAATCCATCAATGGGGCTGGGCCCTTGGCTAATATTTTATTAAGTGGAAATAACTGATGCCAGAAACAGCAGCACAAGATGTGGCACACCCAAAAAGTTCCACCGTGCTTCCCGAAAAGCCATTTGTTCAGGTCCTTTTTTTACTGCCTACAAGCACATAATGCTTTTAAAAATGAATTAAACCTTGTGGTCAACACTCTAAAAAATCTGACATGTTGTGATTAAGAGCAGAAAACTTCACTAATTGCTGCTTTTTGCTTTTAATTTTCAGAAAACAAACAAACAAAAAAAACACAAACAGCACTATTCCCCCCAAACTGAATAAACTTATCGTGAAAAATGTGCGACGCATCTGCCGAGCTGTACACCGGCCAGTGTTTATCTACAACACCTTGGTTTTATAGTTGTTGACAAGGTTTGGGATTCCAACACCAAGTAAGTCATGATGTCATCTAAACAATGCTCAGAGCTGATTGGTCCAGTGTGTATGGACCAGCGTGCTTTAATTCCCAAATGGATGCTTTTAAGTGGGCACAAGAGTGTGACTTCTCCTATTTAGGGATGAAGGAGGTATATCTGTACACATTTCTCTGTTGTCTGATGATAACCAGTATAACGTCATACTGTGTCTCTCCAGCTTTACGTATGTCAGGTTTATGCTCAGGCTGAACCTTCATGTTCCAAACCAGGCATCAGCAGCCAACTCCAAAACTTCAACATCAGTATTAATAAATAGCTTCTGTGACAAGCAGCCCTGCTGAACACCTGGAACGAACTGGAAGTAAATGTTATCGTGTACCAGAAACATTTGTAAATAGGGGGAAAGAACAGACAACGGAGGGACAATCCTGGCTCCTCGGCTCCTTTGTTTTAAAGGTCAGAATACCGCAGCGTATCCAGGCAACACACATACACACCGACGAGGCCGTGTAGGATTTTTATGGAGTGATGCCATCTGCTCATTTTAACTTCATTAAATCAGCTTAACAGTCATCGAGAACTCCCACAACTTCAGGAGACTTTTCTTCTTCTGCTCAAAACGTTCACATCTCAGTTCAGGATCAGCGCTACGTAAAAATTCAAAGGCGAACTTGGACGCCCTTTAAAAACGATCACATTGAAACAAGATGTTTCTTCTCCTCACAAGCTTGTCAAATACCTACTGGTTTATATACCCCGCCTGGGCCGCTATCAGACTCGCTGAGAGCCCTGCCCTGTCCAAAGGATTTGTGGGAGGAAGTGATACATCCCTTAGGCATTTCCACCCTCCTATCTGCCACATTGGATTGCCTTCTCGCTCTGCACAGTCGAAGAACTAAAACAAAAGTAGGTTTTCTTCATTAAACTAAGCCGTCGTTGCTGTTCGCTCCCTCTCTAGAAGAGGTTGAAGGAGACAGTGCAGAGCGAGAAGTCAGAAGTGGTGACTGAATGGTACTTTCCCTCCATGTACCATTAGTTTAAAGCAAGTTCTGATATTTTGGCACCAATATGCACCTTTATCTAATCATAGAATTAGTTTCTGCCATAATAATGAAGTGAGATGTCTACATTTGTTCAGGGATCTGTGACACTGCTACACACTACTGTTCAGTTTATAGAAAAAAAGAAGAAGGTGTCACTTCCAGAAAGACTGGAGACTACCCCGTTAACCCCACCGTGCTGGTGTGTGACTATAAAAGGAGTCCGGTTGTCAGCACAGGGAAAGCAGACTATCACTTGTGTTATGAATACCTTCTGTTTCCTCCACCCTGCCTCCTCTGCTCTCCTTGTGTCTTTAGGTTTTCTCTTTTGCACCACTGTTCGTGTTCATGCTCTGAGAAAAGTCAGGAAGTATGTAAGCATTAAAACAAACCCTCCAGGATTTTTCCTAACACATATTTATATTTACACTATCTTTCGTGATTGCCTGTTATGCCGCTGCAATGGAAAATTGAGATTTAGATTTTGCTGACAGCTTTCACAACATTCAAAGCTCTGTTGGTGTCTTTACTGAGTACAAACTTCTTCCATAACAACCAAATTCAATCCTAGTGATGAACATTACCAGGTCATCTGTATATAAAAGCTGCTGAAGTTTTTATGCCCACATACAGGCTTCAATGTTTCCCACAGGACTCACATCTCATCCTGTCGCTTGTTTCTTCCACCTGAGCTCAAACAACTTCACTTGACACTAAACTTTCTCCCTTCGCCACCAACATCAGGCGTCAAAACGTCCCGTCAGAAACCTGTAGGTGACCCCACGTACATGCTTCAGTACAGCCTGTGATGAAGTCAGATTAGTCCAAAATACAATATGTATATTTAGCCTTCCTGTCCCTCAAGCACACATACTTGGGATGCCAGTTGGCATACTCTACTTTGCATAACAACTCCCCCCTTGGCACAAAAATAGCCCTTCCTGTGTGCTCCCTACTGTAGTGCTCGCAGCTATCCCTGCACAAACATGGCACCTAAGGCGGCTTAAGCAAATCAAACTGGCCGGTAACACCCAGCTTCACGTACATCAGAATTCTTCACATTCTGTAGCACTGCAGTGAGCTCAGAGTCTAAACATTAATGCCATGCCAGTGGACGGGCACACCGAATTCCTCAACACACAGTTCCTCTGAAATGCCATTTTTCCAGCACTGACATCAGTTTAATCTGCACGTCAGATACCAAAATGCACTACTCCTGATCTCAGAGAGCAATTTAATTACATGAGAACTCTTACAGTCACACGAGCAACACATGGAATCACCTCCTGTGCCGGTCGGTGCTCTGAGATACTCCCCCAGAGATGCTAAAGTTGGGTTTAAGAGGGAGTCTTTGTAGGAGGATAAAAACTGAAACCGTCCGTCCTAAGTAATGATGTTAGAATTCAATAAATACATCTAAAGGCGTACGAGCTCTCTCCTTTTGGTGGGTCAAAAAGGAAGATGCAGGTTTTACAGGCTGCTGCTGAGCAAAATCTTTTCACACCACACTGACAGAATCTCCCTGGTGAGACTTCTCATCTGGGAAAGTTAATCCAGCAATAACATGTTGGAGTGACGTCCAGTAATCAGATTTTTTATTTTAAAGGTAAACCTTAATTTCCATCCATGACTCACACAATGACTTTGCTTCTGTCCTCTACTTACAAGCGGGCATAAAAATCACAGAACTCCTTATAGACTTTGACGTCGCTCTTGCGTCTCTGGGACTTGGACACGGGGACCTCGGCCTCTCCCCCATCACCGCCGAGGAGCCGCTGGTGGTAGCCGTTCATTTCTCCGTGAAGAACGTGGTCCGGAGCTTCGCCGTCCTCAGGTATGGACGGCGGCAGGGCACGGCCGTTCATCTCCATACTCAACAGTTTGAAAAAAGTCTATCCACACGGCAGGAAAACTAGAAAAAACTCTTCACACTCCAGTGAGAATCCTCTGCGATAGTTTCCAGTGAGGCAGTCAGAGCTGTATTCCACATTGGAAGAACGAAACGCCGACCAGACTGCGCTGGGAGTGCTCTCCCTCTCTCTCCCTCTCCCTCTCTCTCTCCCACACACTCCCCCTTTCTCTCATTCCCCCATCAACTCTTTCTCCTTTTCCTCTCTCTCTCTCTCTCACACACACACACACACACACACACACACTCTTGGCCTCTCCTCCTGTCACACTCGCTGTCTATTCTTGGGCAGGTTACTCAAATTAAAGAGCCCACCCTGACGCCTGTCCAGACAGAGGTCACTGTGTCATGGCACACACCCAGAGCACACACACACACACACACACACACACACACACACATGGGTCGTAGCTGTAGTTTTGCAATGTTCTGTGTCAATAACGTATACAGTCTTTGGCTAATATCTCTCCATGCTATTAATCTTTCTTTGTGTTAAACAGCTGGAGCTCCACATTAGTGCTCCACAACAAGCAAAGCAGAGAGTCTTACGGCGATAGATGCCAATATAACAGCAACAGCATACATAACAAACTACTGTTTGTTTCATTTTATGTTTGATATCACTGAATAAACACACTGGAGTAGGAAACCAAGCAGCAGTGGACAAACCTACTGAAGCTAGATATTGTCTACTCTGTGTCATCCGTTTGATATGAGATGTGCAACTGACTGCAAACAAACTCAATCTTGAAGCTGAAATAATTAAATGCAGAATTATAGCAAAGCTGGTTTAGATTGTAATCAGGCATTTCACCATCATCCACAAAGATCTGTCTGTTGTGCACCGATCAAAACGATATTGATGAAATGTGACTAGCTTCATGCTTGGCTTTCATCACCACAGTGTGCACACAACGGACTTTAACCCTCCTACTTCTAAACAATGTTGTGATTATTTATGGACGGCATATTTTTGGCAGTAAAGGACCTCGGTAGGATTCAGGGATATTGGGAAATTCCTACGACTTGTTTCCAACGTAGTCCAAAAAAAAATAAAAGCTTGAATACCGTTTTTAAACATAACTTGAAGCTATAAATTATAAAATATGTTAATCATCCTATATCGGTCGAAGCTCAGGCATTCCTGTAAACCCATTCTTTATGTGGTCCAACTCAACTGGCATCTCAAATTAATGACCACTTCCCAAACCATCAAAACAACACCAGGCCAGATCCGGAAATACACTCCAGTGACACAAACATGGTCGACGCTCTATTGGGAAATAGCCACCGGGCTAATCCGGAAAAACTAAACGATGAGTAATGAACACTTAGTGAATAGCAAAATGTTAAAGACCTGTGTGTGTGTGTGTGTGTGTGTGTCCAGCTGAAACATGTCTCAGTCCTTCAGTATAACAGTCTTCTACATGACTCCACTCTACAAATAGACACCCGGTGGAGCCTCATCTCCAAACTAGGTGCTGGCAGCTGCTGTTTTGCGTCTGAGTGTGTACGTGTGTGTGTGTGAAAGCGTTTGTATACGTAGTGTAGGCTAACTAGCTAAACCCAAAGAGGCTACCGAACTGTACAAAACATGCAAAGACCGTTATTCGCATTTTCAATTAAAATCTTGCCCATTCGGTGACGTCTTGATTGGTTTTTGCATTTTATTGTATTTATTTATTTGTCGTTTTAGATGCATCTTGTTCACAATTTCTTCCAAGATTATTTTCTATACCTAAGAAACCGTAAATTGTAGTTACAACACTCTCAGTCGCTTTAATCGCTCTGAAGGCACTACCTAAACTATTTCCATTAAGAGGCAGCCTGGATACTAAAATGAGTGCCATAACGAGCCAAACATGTCACCAGGCACCATTTAAAGCCTCCAGAGCCTTTTTAAAACAGAACATTGTCTGCAGTAAAGGCTCATGCTCCGTGGGGGGACTCTGAGCACCAGTGCTGAGTGAGCGGGGTACAATGGACAGAGGGTGGGAGCTCAACAGGAAACTCTCCTCCTGATTACAGCCACTGCACAGCGTCACGCCCTTAAAGTGCACAGGCCTCAGAACCAGCCGGCTCTCTGGTGTCTTGACTGACATGACAATGAGCATTGTTTAAGTGCACCTTGGGGATTTTGCTACCCTGGTGCCAACCACGCTAACAAGAGGGCAAAATATAACTTTAAATAATACGCTTTAACAGACTTGAATGGGCCTTTGCTGAAGCTCGAGGCCTCACTCGTCGGCTCCACTTTGTATTTCGAGACTATTTAAGTTTAGTGACTTCACATTAGTACGGTCATTACTCAGAACCAGACACCATGTTGGGATGGGATCACACCAGCCACAGCAGCCATCAGCATGTTGACGCTCCAACCCATACCGACCCCGTAGCCATTACTATATTATTACCAGAGTTCTTGGTATTCATGGGTCGGACCACACCCATTTTCAAACTTCATTTCAATCTCGACGAAAAGTTTCACGACCGTATCTTGCAAGGTAGTGACAAAAATGTCCACATACAGATAGGCATACAGAACTAACACCTGCAAAGGTACAACAAAAAACACCTTTTTGGTCGTTCCCAGTCCAATAAGCGTCTGTAGGACCACCTTCAGCCACAATGACACACACAGACACACATAGATAGACAGACAGATTCACGGCTGGTAATGACTGTGTTTAGTCGTAACAGCCGACAAATTGTGCCTCCTATCATGGACCACCTGTGTAACGAACATCACGCTGCCACACAAGACCAGAAAACATGAGCCAATCAGCCACACTATGCAGCCGGGACACTGACTAGACTGTACAGTGTTGTGTGGCCTTCAATGAGATGAAACGACAAACTGCCCAACGCTCACTTTTCCCCCGTAAATGTCAGACTGGACCAGTTACTGGACAGAGTGTCGTCTGATCCCAGCATCACGTTTCTTAATCCTCGCTGCTCCCCCACCAACACGAGGGCTGCAAATAGGCCTGTGACACTCTTCTGTCCCCTCTTAGTTCACCACCAAAACTCCAACATCAAGATAATGCAATAAGCAGATATTAGAAAACAGAACAGGTTTGTAATGTCTGAGAGAGAGAGTCGGCCAGAGAGAGAATGTGAGTGTTGATACGAACGTCAACCTGAGCTTAAAAATGGCTACAGCAACTGTCAGCAGTGGACTGGATGTCTCCGGCGTGTTCCCTCAGCAGGATAGGATACTGGGACTTCCTTATGGGTTCATTAAAAGTCACTGGAGGGGTCGTAGGTCAGGTCAACCACAGGCTTGGAAAAGAAGGAGGAAATACAGTCTACTGTTGCAATGAACTGAGCTGACAAACAACAGACAGCCACACATTTGTTCTTGTTTAATTCTATATCTGAAAAAGCTCTTTAGTAAAAAGGTATTTTAGGGACACATGGAATGTTTGCAGCGTTTTTTTTACATTTAAACTGCAATAATGTAAACAGCTGATTCCAAAAAAGATTCTTCCAAAGAAGCCTGTATAGAGCCGACTTCCTCAATCAATTTTATCTTCTAACTAAAGCTACTCTATAAAGGCTGATGTCATTTTTCATGAGCCTGCTCTGCTGTTAAACACTCATTCACTAAAGGAGTCTGAAATAGCTGGTTGTTATCTGGTGGTAAATGTGGATTTGTTTGATTAGCTTGTCTTAAAATCTGTCGTGTTCACTTAAACCTCAACTAGCGTGATAAGTTTTTCCTACTGATTTTTTTTTTTTTTATCTATTAAGGATGGATTAAGATATTCAGGATCCATATGTTTTAAAGGCCAAGCCTGAGAAACCAGGAAGTTCTGCAGAGGTTGGAGGCACCTTTTCAGATGAACAGCAGAGATTCACCAGAACAAACATTTATTTTTTTAAACTTCTCTTCCTGTGGGTTAAATAGATCTGATCTGTACTACATATAACAATCTGTAGACCCAAGCAACCATCCTGACTTCTCTCCGCTGGTGGAAGACAAGCAGACTGTGGCCGGAGAAACAAATCAAACACACCTCGGTCACACACCCACACTCACTGTGTCAACAGCAACCATAGCAACACAGACATGAGGGCTGCTGGGGCAATTTTTTTCCCCTCAGCAAACCATCAAGTGTGTGTGTGCACTAACACATGCTATAAACACACACAGAGACACAAAAAACTGTGTGACACACACTGATTCAGTGGCTGTGCAAACATCATTTGTGACTAACATTTGCTTGGTTTTGCACTTTTAGTCCTGAGGGACGTGTTGAGCGGCGCTATCGAGGATCAGACCCAGAACAGGAAAACATAGAATAACAATAACACGTCGTATTTTCTCTCTTGCTGTAAAGTTACAGCCAATTTGTAGCATTTATGTATTTAATGCAATGTTTAAAAACGCTAATATAACTCTATAAGGCTTAAACTGATTCATTAAATCATTTATTTTGTCATTTATTTTCTAATGAAGCGCTTATTGGCTGTAAATCTTTGAAACCATCGTGTTCTGTTTTGCTCTGAGCTGTTTTCATGATAAACATCGATCCAACTTGAACACGTCTTTCTGGGGATTTTCTAGGGAAAGGCCTTTTTAAATAAGAACACTGCTTATCTGATCTCCATGTGCATATGAGAGGTTTCCAGGTGTGGCTTTAATACTGTGTTTTGTTCTGACTTTTCAGGTGGAAAACTGTGTGATGCTATCAGTAGATGCTGCACGGAAAAAAAACAACTGTACTTCTGATTGTCATCATTGTGCTTTAAACTGAAAAAGTCCCACACAACAGAAGGGGATTGTTATTTTTCTAAAGTTTTTGTCTAAACTGGAGTAAATAAATATACCACTGCCATGGTTTCCTTGATTTAGATCCTTTAATACTCAATTTGTCAAGTTCTAAATATATATTTTTTAACTAGACTACAGTTTCTCTCCCATATGCTTAGTTTAATTTTAATTCTTAATATGCAAATAATAGCAAATATATGTAAAATATTACTTATTGCTAAATAAAATACAGCAAAACTAGAGTAACTTTACGTTCAATTAAAAAAAATACACATATTTTTTACAGTGTTGGCCTGTTTTGTTGTGGTTAACGTGTAAAATTACAGTTTTTTGTGACTTACTGGTTATTATCTGAAATGTTCTTTTTTTACAAAAAAGG